TAACATGTTTACCAATGTCTTAGTGAAGAGGGTATTTTCTATGTCTCCTCATGGATCATGGTTGTGGGATGGGTGTACAGGTCACACATAACAAATCTAGTACAACATTTCTATCTCCCTTTGGATTTTCTTGGAGCCTTTGGATTGTCTTTTCATTTCATGTCAGGGAAGCTCTGGCATCTGTCATATTAAATGGATGCTACGATTGAGTTTGTATCGACTCAAACAACCAAGTAAATGATTAAAGCCATATCCAACTGCACAAACAGATGCATTAAATCTGGACTCTATTAAGTGCACCTATATCAGTGAATTCAGCCTAATCTAGTGTTATATTCGGCCCTCTTTGGTCTAACACACTTAAAATCTATTTGCACATGTTTCTTAGATTTCTGCTGCTATATATTAGCAAAGTCATAAAAATTGTTCAATGTATAAGCTATTTCTTTTGCCTCCTGGAGTGTGGAGAAAAGGAGTACCTGTCCTATTGGACTATGCAGAGATGTGACACTAGTTATGGATACAGCAGCAAGAGGATGGTTGCAGTGAGGCCCGAGGAAAATGAGCATTACTTTTCATGGTACGTTATCACAGAGTTTTCAAAATAAAGAAATCTAGTCTCCTTGGCCCTTTGAGGGAAAGCTTCTCGTACTTTGAAGGGAGTCTCAGGGTGACTAGGGGATTTAATATTGTCAGTTTCATCTGGGTCCAATGAGATATCTCAAATTTGAGTTTAAGGATTTAATTCTTTCCTGATTAATGTCTTAATTTTCACATGAGGAACTAGGAGAAACTGAATTCAACTGTCACTGCAATATAGAAACTTCTAAGATTAAAAATCATATTTGATTTTCAACAATATCAGCCCTGTCGCTACTAGAAATAAGACTCTTTTAGGGCTGTCATTGAAGCTATGTTATCACAGTCAAAATTCAAGTGACATTATACCACTTCAGTATAACATAAGAATCTCCCCACAGGATACTTTTATTTCTCCCCTCCTGGCCTTTGTGCTATTTTTATTATAAACTTTATTTCTATATAGGTTGTAAAGTAAATATTGTTATCTGTAGTATAGTTATTATTTTCACTTGAAACAACAGATTATCTTTTCAAGAGGTTTAAATTTTAAAAGTCTTTATGCACATAGCTACGATTTCCAATAATCTGCATTGCTTTATGTATAACCACATTTCCATCTGATGTCATTTTCCTTCTCCTTAAAGGACTTCATTCAATATTTTTAGTGGTACTAGTTGGCCGCTCATGAATTCTTTGAGCTTTTGTATAACTGAAACTATCTTGATTTCTCCTATGTATTTTGAAAATTCTTTTCCCTGGTATAAGTTTATAGGTTGTCAGGGTTTTTATTTTTTTTTGTTTGATTTTGCTTTTATTTTCTCTTAGCACAGCAGATTTCTCATATAAAACAATGCAATGCCCTACGTCTTTTGACCTGCATTATTTTGGATTAGAAATCTACTGTAATTCTTATCTTTGTCCTTAAGCATGTAATCTAACATTTTGCTCTGGACATCTTTAAAATATTCTCTTTATCACTGGTTTTAAGCACTTTGATTATAATGTCCTTTGATGTAGTATTCTTCATGGTTCTTGTGCTTGGGTTTTGTTGAGATTCTTTTTTTTTTAATTTATTTATTTTGTTTATTTTATTTTTGGTTGTGTTGGGTCTTCGATGTTGTGCACAGGCCTTCTCTAGTTGCAGCGAGCGAGGGCTACTCTTCGTTGCGGTGCACTGGCTTCTCATTGCAGTGGCTTCTCTCGTTGTGGAGCACGGGTTCTGGGCATGTGGGCTTCAGTAGTTGTGGCACATGGGCTCAGTAGTTGTGGCGCCCAGGCTTAGTTGCTCCCTGGCATGTGGGATCTTCCTGGATCAGGGATCAAACCCATGTCACCTGCATTGGCAGGCGGATTCTTAACCACTGTGCCACCAGGAAAGCCCCTGTTGAGATACTTAATATCTGTGGTTTAATAGTTTTCATCAAATTTGGAAAGAGTTTATCCATTGTTTCTTCTCTGTTTTTTGTTATTCTCCTTTTGTTAGAGAACTCCAATTATATTTATATTAGGTCCCTTTATTTCTCCCACAGCTCACTGATTATCTATTCATTTATTTTATTTTCTATTTGTGTTTTATTTGGGATATTTTCTATTGCATCTTCAGCTATTAATCTCTTCTCTAGAATGTCTTATCTGCCATTAGTACCATCTAGTGTATTTTTCATCTCAGAACAATATTCACATGTTAAAATTTTAATTTTCGCATCTAAAAATCCAACTTGCAATTTTTATATCATTTTATGTCTCTCTCAACTTGTTTAATATTTCCTCTAATTCTTCAACACCTATACAAGACCATAACATCATTTTTTCACCAAATTCCCTATGACCTCATCTTCAATGGCATTTCCCATTGTTCTCTTAGTAATATATGGGATATACTTATACTAAAATTATTATTTGTTTTTTTTTAAATTGAAATCCAGATGTGACTGAGCGTCCTATATATATCTGACATTCCTAATAGCTAACCTCACTTCATGACATTTCCTAACTTTGTTATCAACTTTATTTACCTACTTAGCACTAAACACCAATAGACCTCCTATATACTTTATTTATTTATTTGCTAATAATCTGCCTTCTTCCACCAGAAGGTAAGCTCTGTGAGGGTAAATATTTGTATGTTTTGCATACTGCTGTTTCACAGTGTCTATAACAATGCCACACATTATTGGCATTTCCTTAATATTTGCCAAATTAATAAATGGATGAATAAATAAACAAGTATTTAATTGATTGATTGATTAACCTTGGAGAGATATTCTTCCTGAAAGAGAAAATGGAGGATGAGAGGGGATAAGAGAAGTAAAACAGAGGCTGTTGTGCAAATCACAGTGCTTTCTTTTCATTATCTTCCACTTTCCTGATTACATTTCAGAAAATATTATTTAGAAGTGGACAGTGATATATTTTGTGGTTTTCTGAGCACTTACTTTTAAGGCAAATGTCCTACCAGAAACAGTCACCTAATGAAATGAACCATTTGCTGTGCATTTAGTTTATTTTTGTTCTTTAAGATACACTTTTTCTGATTGCTCTGTGAACCACTTATTTTTCTCAAACCAGAAGAACTTTAAAGAACTTGACTGCTTTGTCCTTTAATTCAGATTGAAGGGTGGCTGGAAGGACAGTTTTGTACATAAAGGAAAGGGTGATATTTTAATTTTCTTTCCCTTGTTCCTGTGAAAAGCAACTCTGTAAATCCTGCTAACGTAATGAGACTTGTGAGCTTGGGTTACACTTAAGGATTCCACGACGAGAATATTATATTACAGTTTCTTTCTCTAGTTTCTAAATGTCGGCATTGATATTACCAGGCAGCATAAAGATATCAATCATCAGAAAGCTTATCGACTGTTCAGAATGGTTCTATCAATATCTAATTTGCTGTCTGATCTAATGCACAGTCAGCCAGTGCAATGCCAACATACCGGCTCTGTCTTTCAGGATATGTCATCTTCCCTCTATAGACAATGAGAAAAGCCTTAATTTTTTCCTTGGATCGACACACAGAGAAATACCCTTTACGTGCTAGAAGGGAAAATATTAAAGAAAAACACCAACTTTTCTGTTCTTGTCTCTACCACCTATACCTTAGGGTTTACAATGTTTCGGTGCACCTGACACAAGCCTTACGTTAAAAATAAATCAGACATTTTTTAAAGATCCCATAAAATTGTTATCATTGAACTCATGAATAGCAAACTCCTGTCCATCATTAATTATGAAACTTTTTCCATTTGCAACTACACATTTAATTCTATTTGCAATTGTGACTTTCAATTTGAAATGGCTCCTCAAAGGGTCAATTTGGGCAAAAGTTGGAAGTAGCTTGTATCCTTCCCAGGGTTTATACCTGATTCCAAATCCTCCCCTTATGTACTCTTCTGTTTTTCCATTTTCACAGCCATATTCTTTTCCTTCTCAAGTGAAAAGAGGAAACCCTACCTAAAATATAGTTAGTTGATCCTCCATTTTAGTGCAAATAGGCTTGTACTACACATAAATGGCTCACAGTACCTAAAGCGCAACTCATTCATTCATGGATTCTAATTCACCAAATACATATTGATCACTGATATATAGGACAGACCTTATACTAGTCACTGCACAAAACAACCTATCAACATAGATCTGATCTTGTCTTCTTGGAGTTTATGATCTAGTGGAAGAGAAGCCCAGAAGTTCAAAATCTCATAGTTAATCTGAACTTGCCATATCTCTTATTATATATATATATATATATATATATATATATATATATATATAAAATATATATATATCCCATTTTCTCTTGTTGCTGTATATAATTTGGAAAGTGTTTAGTAATTTAAGAAACTCAGTTTTAGAGCATGTTAAGTCTTTAAAAGCTATTGAATATATGAGCACAGTAGGAAAATGTAAGAATTTGATTCAGTTTTCCCCTACCTACTTGCTCACTTTTCATTCTCTTCATGCCTCTCAAGTGAAACAGCAGAACATCAGCATTACAGGTACACCACAAAATTTGGGGGCAAAGCTGTGTCATAGCAGTTTATCTTATCTATGTGAAATATCTTACAGTGGATTGAGAGTGGAACTAAACATGGGAAGAAACAGATGGATGGTAAGAGATTTTTCTTTCCCTTCTGAAAAGAAACTTTGCAACTATTTAAATGTTCCTCCATTCCCCATGCTTAATCAATAATAGCAAAAGCATTTGCTCCTTGGCTGGAACCATTTCATTTCAGAAACTTTATCAGAAGGAATATATATAACACAGGCAGACATCCAGGATATCAGCAGAGAGGATTATGGTACACATATGACATTTAAATACTGACTAAAATAGCATACTTTCTTCCAAACCTCAGAAAATACAGATCTAAGATCCTCGGGGTATGTTGGAGGGCAGTTATGTTTTATAAAAGTCTGACCTTTCTAAAGCAGGAAAATGAGAAGACTGTAGACTCTCAGCTCAGAGGGAAGATCCTTGGTGGAAAGAACTGGGTTCCAGCAGCTTCCAGATTTAGGCTTCCAAGTGAAAAGCTAGCCATTATTGCATGACAGTTGCTATGATGCATCACTTTATCACTCCAAAATAAAACAGAACAAAAATGTCTTAGATTGGAGCTGTATAACTTTGTTATAGCAGCATTAAAAGCATTCCACAATTCAATGACCTGAACAACAATTATTTATTTTCTCTCATGTGTTTGAAGATCAACTGCGATTGACTGATCTAGGCTGAGATTGGTTCCAGCTGTTTGCTTCTTTTCCATGTGACACTTGTCCTTCTCTGGGACCAGCAGGCTGGCTGGGTCATTCCTCTCTCATAGTGATGCCAGAGTACAAGGGAAACCTCCAAGGCCTGTTAAGACCTGGTTGGAGCCACCATACTCTCACTTCTCCTTCACTGTATTGGCTAAAGCAAGTCACATGGTCAAATCCAAAGTCAAAGGTTTGTAAATTATGCTCTGCTTTTGTAGGGGGAGGACCTTCTCTAAATAGAGGGAGGAGTGAAAAAGTGCCAATCAGTGCAACGTTCCTAGGAACCAGTATAAACTCATGTGTTCTATCTCTTCTTCAGAGGCCTTAAAACTGTCTTGAACTGGCCTCTGATTTCTAGTCAAACCACATGAAGATGGTATTCTTTTTCTACTGTCGCTGTGAAAAATTATTATAAATTTAGGGGCCAAAAACAACACAAGTTTATTATCTTATAATTCCGTAGGTCAGAAGTTCAACATAGTCTCACTGGGATAAAATCAAGGTATAGGCAGGGCTGTGTTCCTTCTGAAGACTCTAAGAAAGAATCTGTTCCCTTGCCTTTCCCAGCTTCTAAAGGCTGTCTGCATTCCTTGGCTCAGAGCCCTTCTTCCATCATCAAAGTCAACAAATTCAGACTGAGTCTTTTTCATGGGGCCATCTCTCTGGTTCTCATCTACCTCCCTCTTTCCTTTTTAAAGACCCTTGTAATAACATTGGTCTCTTACCTAGATTATCCCAGATAATCTCCCTATTTTAAGGTTTGTTGATGTCCATCCTTGATTCCATCTGCAAATTTAATTCCCACTGCCATGTAAACTAACATGAATTAGAATGTGAATATTTTTTGAATGGGCATTAATCTGCCTACTGTTAAAGAAAAAACTATTCATGACATTTGTTAAAGGACAGTAATGAAGGCTTTATTTAGGGGGATACTGCAGTGGGGTTTTATTGTCAGGGAGCAAGATAAGGCTCAACTCTGAATACAATAAGGAAAAGCAGGAATCTATAGCCAAGGAACAGGTAGGAGAAGGGTGGATGGAAAATTACTGAGGAAACATAAGAGGTAAGGGGAGATTCTGGCTAAATCAAACTAATAGGATTCTCACTGAAGGAAGGCCAGGGTGACCAGACATCACCTGGGAAATGGTGGAGGGTGAGGAACCTGATCATGTATCACAGATGAGGGATTCTGTCTAAACTTACACAGAATTCTTGCTAAAATTGGGCCATGCAAAGACAAGCACAGAGGTCCAAAAGTTAGGGCCTAGTCAAGGAGATGGTTCAGAAGAACCTGACTGGGGTTTGGTCAAGAAGGGAATATTTGTTGCTACCATAGAGATCATATCTTTTTAGTTACTAATAACTTCAAAGAAACAAGAACATATATGCTCTTGGAGGAGGATGAAGTGTTTCATATACCTCCCTTGTGTTCTAGATTATTTTTCTAAATAACATTTTATTATTACAGTAGCCTCCCCCCACCCGTAGTTTCTGTTACCAGTGGTCAACTATGATCCAAATATATTAAATGGACAATTCCAGAGATAAACAATTCATAAGTTTTACATCGCAAGCCATTCTGAGTACCATGATGAAATCTTGTGCTGTCCCACTCCCTCTCACCCTGGATATGAATCATCCCTTATGTCCAATGAATCCACACTGTATATACTACCTACCTGTTAGTCACTTAGTAGCTGACTCATTTATCAGATCGACTGTGGAAGTATCACAGTGCTTGTGTTCAAGTAACCCTAATTTTACTTAATAATGGCCCCAAAACACAAGAATAGTGATGCTAGAGATTTGGATATTCTCTTACTGTGCCTATTTTATAAATTAAACTTTATCATAGGTGTGTATGTATAAGAAAAAACAGTATACATAAGGTCTAGTACTATTCACAGTTTCAGGCATCCCCTGGGGGTCTCAGAACATATCCCCTCCAGATAAGGAGGGACTACTGTATTCTGATTATGTAAGTAAATTGGGTTCATAGTGAAAATTTTATAAATAGAGAAATAACAAAGAAAACTAGAGTAAAACATAGTCCTGCAATTAAGTAGCTACTTTTAATTACCTTGAGAATAACTTTATAGATAAAATATGTCTTTCTATCCACATGTTTTCATTTAAACCGCATTCTCACTAATGTATAATGAATCAAACTGTATGATGGACTGATGGAGAAATTCCTAGTATGCTTAGGGGAAGGATTAAAAAACAAGGAAAGACAGGGACAAACAGGAGTATTGTGTGTGGGAGTAGAGGCAGATGTTTTTGAAAATATAATTACCTGGAGAAAGCAAAGGTTGTTACTCATCACAACCATATTCCCAACTTGAAACTCTTGCCTTTGTTTGCCCCTGTCTACTTTCAATTGTGTTGCAGCAAACAGAATTTCTAGGTGACCGTAGATGTGTATGAGATGGGGTTAGGGAGTATGTGTTTGGCCTACCATAACAGCATAATCTAATAAGAGCTTTACTATTTAGCCGTTTTGCACAGGCCAATCATTTTCACAGGATTTATGAAAAATGCTTTCCTTTTTTTTCTTGTTTTTCTAATTTAGCAATCTTATTTCTCAAAGGAGTAGAAATCATGGCTGGTTATACTAATTGTATCAGTAACGTGGTAGGGAAGAGACAAGGTACATTTTCTAGCAACTAGTCATTATCTCTGGGAGCTTGAGCCTACAATTCAAGGTAACAGAATACAAATGGAAATAATATCTTATTCAGTATTTTGGCTAGGTAAATGAACATGATAACTGAATTATGGCATATTTCATGGCCCAGAAACTGGAAAGCATAGAATATGAGTTGGAATACAGTGATCACATAGCAGCAGTCGTCAGTATTCTTCTTTGTATATGTACTTTTCAACTTATTGAGTTTTTTTAGAAACTATTCTTGCCTTTAACAAATTCATAATCAAAGGTATCAATTTAACATAATAGAGGTATGAACAATGTACTCTGAAAGAAAAATGAGTGGTTAATTGTCCCTGAAGGTGGCCAGAACAATAGCTTCATAAAACTGTTATTGTCACATCTGTAATGAAAATACAGATTTTCTGGTTCCTAATACAGAAAATTGTAAGTATTGTTTTCAGAGAACTGTTTTTAAAACAAAATGTAAACCTGGTGTGCGTGTGTGAATTAACACCAGTCATACATATGCATGTGTAATCTGGAATGAGATATGAGGAATAAACTCAGGGTTCTCATTGACTTTCCGTGTAACTTTGGCCAAGTCAGTTTGCCTCTGCACATCTTTTTCCTCATCCTTAAAATGAAGGAGCAGAATTACTGGCTTTCAGACTCTCCTAATTGCTCTCTCACATTTTTTTATGGTTTGCTCTTTAGTTATACAACCTGGAATCTAAAACATACTGAGAGAGAATTCTCCATGGCATTTCTGCACATCTTGTATCAGCTTTTGTCCCAGACTATACTTTTAAGCATGTTTGTAGTTTGTATAACAGTTTTGGAAATAGAGATAGTGTCACCTTCTGGGGAAGAGGGCAGAATTATATCCTGAACAAAATAAAGATAATGTCTCCCTTTGGGGCAAAGTTGGGCAGTTTACTAGCAGCCCCTTTTAGATGATCAGAGGGTACTGAAGAATTACCCAAATGGAGTACAAGATGTATTCAGATTCAGAAAGCACCAGCTTCTCCAGGGCTTAATGAGGGACCCAGTACGACAGTGGCCCTACGAGGATTCGACTCCAGTGAATGATGGGATACTGCTAGAGAAGTAGACTGTTGTCTCATTATGCAATAAAGGTAGTTCTGTGTTCTGAGAAGTAAATTATTGTGAAATATCTTAGTGATTGAGATTAAAAACATTGCTCGAAAGATTTTCTGTGGTACTCCTAGGTATCCCTTAAACCTGAATGCATATTTGTCAGGTTGCTAGTAGTAGATCCTATTTATATTTGTGCAGAAACTTTAAAATCATTCTGAATTCCTTCCCTTGCCTTTTTCCTGTAGATCAACTCCTCACTATCTCCAATATCATGGACCAAGCTCTTAGTATACCTCACTTCACAAGTGGCATCCTGACACCAACAGTTGTCATTCCAATACCTAGCATCCATGCTTCATGATGGTAACAAAATGATTTTGTTCTAAAATGCAAATACTACATCATTCTGTTAGTTTAAATATATTAATGTGGTCAAGGGAAAAGTTTAAATTTGTTGGTGAAATGGAAGAAGCTCTTTAGAATATGCCCCCTGTTTATCATTCTCCCTTACCTCTTGCCTTTCCCTTGCAAGCACTGTCCATTCTAGCCATATTATGCTATTTACAATTTTAAGATCATCTTGTAGTTTCAAACTGCTGTGCTTTTCCACAGCTGCTCTATCTCCCTGTGAAGGCCATTCCTCCATTTTCCATCAGATCATTTTTCATCGTCTTTTAAGTCTTAGCTTAAATATGCTTTCTTCCAGTAAAAATTCTACAATCCCCAGCCCATTTAAAAATTTCTGAGTTTCCATAAACCATTGTGCAAAATAAATACAATATACTTGTCAGCATTATTATTGTTTATTTTTGTTTTCTATCTTCCACTAGGCTCTAATCTCCTTGAAAAGACATCATGCTTTATTTCACTTAAAATTGGAGATACGTGTAGTTCCAAAATTAGGAATAATCCTCACATCCAAAAATCTATTAATCAGTCATTGTTTGACACTCAAAACTTATTCCCCATTGAATCAGTCTTATACACTTCAAAGATGTTCTTTAAAAAGTACTTTCCTGGAGAAATTAAAAACTTTAAGGAATATTTTTTTATGTG